ACATTCACTTCTTCATATCCCCCAGCGAGCGGTTGATTGCACCGAGCTGACTCAAACGCCGCCGCGCTATGCTAGGAGGACGACGTTCCCCTCGGGAACCGTAATTGCTCGCCATTGCATCAGGTTCGTTGGGGAGTATGCATGCGCCATTCCTCCGCGCATCCACTCCTGGAGGGCTCATGCACTCGTGGAGCTACATCCCTTCCGAGAAGCGATTCAATCGCATTGAATCAGAACCCGTGATGATCCAGAGTAGAAGAACCTGCGTGCAATCACAATGCGCCACAACAGTTCGACGCCCAGTCCATCAGGAGGCAACAGTTGGAGCGCCATCCCCGCGGGAGGCAACAGTTGCCAAACTATCTCCTTGCATTGTCTCTTTCATCCATCCTCCTCCTGCCCACTTCGGCCATGGCCCGCCCTTGACAGAATGGCGCGGGCAGTGCTATGCCACAGAAGAGGGATCTCATCAACAGACCGCAAGTGCCCAGGTATTGTCTTGTCCTGCATGTATCACCCATCTGCCTCTTCACTTCTCAATTGCAATTCTCGAGCGCATCCGTTGATGCATGATCGGCGTCGCCTCGATAGAAGCTCATGTACGAAACATCGCCAATCCTCACAACTACCCTCTCTCCTTCGTTATGCAGCTCTGCCACATCCTACTTTTTCGTGCTCTTCCTTCTCGCTCCCCTCCTTGTCGGCCCTGCCTCGGCGTGATTCGCGCTGCGCAATGTGATTTCAAAAAACGATTCCATCAAATAGCTGTTGGCGGTTGATGACAGCGGCGCAGATGATGGCGTGTTTCGCGCGCGGACCGTTCGGTCCCCCAACACAGAAGCGGGCCCGCCCATTCCCCCGGCCGCGAGGCACGAGGGCCCAGCTCATGCCCGCCCGCGGAGACGCCCGGATCCACCCCCGGAAGCTTCGGGAGCACGGCCCTTCAAGATGAAACGCAATGGGGGGGGGGGGCAGGTCCATGCGAAACTTGCAGTTAACTTTCCCTCCATTACAATAGCCGCTCCACCAGGTCCGCGAAGACGAATGCGAGCCCTCGTCCAGGGGCAGACTCGGCGGGGGGGGGAAGCTTCATGGGAACTAACGGCGCGGCTGCCAGAATGGCCTCGGCCGCCAGACAAGCAGCTTGAACGAGCTGGCCTGATTCGCCAGCGCCGCGTGGATCGGCTGGGAGCGCGGGCGGCAAGCTGGCATCGACATCCGAACGCGCAGGAAGGAGCATGGGTGGCGACGCGCTACCTACACATGCGAGCCGCGCGCCACACCCGCGAAAACGCACCTTCTCAGAAACCAACTGGACAGACGCAAATTCCAAGGTGAAGCTCAAGCGCGGCGTTGGGACTGACGCAGCGACTGGAATTCATGGCTTGCGCGCAGATAGCAATCGCTACATCGGGCCCTGCAGCTCCCCGCTTCCTTGGGCGGCTTCGACGGCTGCGCGCGGGCGCGTGCCCTGTGCCCCCCATAGGCGACGTCTGCCGCGCCGCACTCGGCGCCCGCGCAACTTTGGACTGGCGCGCTGGGCCGCGACCTGGCCTGCATCCGTCAAATGCGACATCCGCTCTGGGCGCCCCCAGGCTGCCAGCGGCTGTGCCGTTGCGATTCTAATCCATCTTCCACGCTGCATGTCGTTGACCGCCCCGTGCGCCAATGCGTCGGTGATCGACCGATCGTCGTCGTCCTCAATGATGAGCAGCCACCTGCGAGGAAACGCAGTTCCGTCGGCGACGCGCTCGGCCCAGACCCCAAAGGCGCCGCCGAAGGGGCCCGCGGATCACATCTGCCACTGCTGCTTGGAAGCGGCACTGCAGATTCGGATTATCTGGGGCTCCTTGTGGGGTCATTGGATCGACGCCTCTACAGCTGGCGGCGCAGGTGGCTCGGCGCCGCCAACGCCGTCTCCTCGAGGCCCGCGTCTAGCATCGCGGGCGGCCCTGGGCCGGTGGCGTCCAACGTGCGCCTGCGCCCTCTCGGCCGCCTGATCGCCATGTCCATGTGCTTCGGCCGAATAGGGGCCCAGCTGCGCGCCGCGCTGTTCAAACCAACCAAACCTAGCAGCGACGCCTCGTACGGAGGGGGCGATTGTCGAAAATGGTGCCGCATGCTCTGCGCAGTGTACCAGATGCGAACCTTTGCGCCGGATCTGCATGCTGACGCAGCAGAAGACGTCGACGTCACGCTGCCACTGTGGCCAGAGTCGCTCCGCCTGTGCGACACGCTACTTCCCAATAAGCCGCAGGTGGGTCACCGTCCCGCCCTGGGAAGCACAGTCGCAGCGAAGCGATGATGCCACGCCCAACGCCGTAATCCACCCAACTCAGCTGTGGCCCGCTGCCGCCGCGCACTACCCGCCACTGCTCTGTTCTCGCGAGGGTCGCCCGCTGCAGAACTGCACTCGCTCAATTAGAATGTTCGCAGCCTGACGCGTGGTCGCGCATTTCCAGCCGCCGCAGACCACCCGTGCTTGGGAACGTCCGAGAGCACCTTCGGAGCGTCGACAAATAGACCGCCGAAACAAGTGCGCCGCCACTTGCTTTTAAAATCTGGGTGCCAGATTCTCTTGCCGCACATGATACTTCCGCGTTCGCGATGCGCCGCTGGAATTCTCGGCGGCGCGGATACCCGAGGCGGGCTCGACAATTTGAAACGCGTGGGCCCTCCGATGACCGAAACCGCTCCGTCGTCGTCTCACGCCGTGCTTCGGCGAGGCTGACGCCTCCTCGGACCATCGCGATTGGCGCGCGGCCCGTGCCCGCGCGCAGTGACGAGGCGCACCAGATGCGCCTTCCGTCGGCAATTGGCGCTGCACGGGGCCGAGCTGGTGCTGCCGCGGGCTTCGCTGCCCGAGGATGTATTTGTGCCGCCCCTCGCGCCATCTTCTCAATCTCCTCCTTGAAGTAATGGTTCACTGGGAGGCGAGGGTGGCGGCGGTGGCGTTGGTGGGGGTGGTGGCGAGCTTGAGGCGATAACGCAAGGGCGCGAGGGTTTCCCTTCGATGGTGTCCGTCGCATCCACTGGTGGGCGATGGATCCTTTCCATCAGTAGCCTCTCTGAAAGAAAAAAAAAAAAAACGGTCCTGCCAGTGCAGCAGCTCGCGGATGTTCACTGGCACCGCAGTGTCCAAATCCTTCATATGCCTCTAGGGACCCTGCAGCTTGCAGGTTTGTTTGTGGATGCCTACTCGAACTTTCCGTTCCTGCGTCGCTGGCGCCATCATCTGCCACGACATGTAATGCTTTACCCAAGTATCTGGCCACTGCCAATAATTTGTCCCTGCGCGGTCGTAGACATCCGTGCCCGCTTTCCTGTGACCGCAATATCAATAAAAAATCGTCGCTGCCGGGACTAACTCCGTGTTCCTTCTTGTCAGCTGCTCGGCACGTCCGACTGCGACAAAACACATCCTCCGCACCTTTTTTGATCCTGCGTGGCACGCATCTCCAGACTCCAAGACCAGAGCCACGCCCACGACAGTGATGTTGCTGCTGGCACCTTTGAAACAACCCGCAGGGGCGCATTGTGGATTTCAAGATCCGCCTTGGCAGTCTTAGCGATGGTCCTCGCCTGGGCGCGGAGGCGCCGGCCGCACCTGTGCCAGGCAGGCCCGGTGCGCTTGGCCATGGGACGTTCCAGCCCTACGCCCGCGTGCTGCTGCGGGCCGCGGCCGCCACAAACCGCCGCCGCTGCTGCGGGTGAGATGGGGTCCTCCCCGCTGCGCGGTCCCCTATGGCGGCGCGCCGCGCTGCCGGCGCCCGCGCGTGGGCCAGCCGCGCGCGGCCGTCTCACCCCGAGCGGGCCGACGGTTCCTCCCCCTATCCTGCTCCATTCCTTGGGCGCCCGAGTTATCCGGGGTAATTCGGGCCCGGGGTAACTCGGGTTCGGAATCCCGAAAAGCGAACCCGAGTTAGCCCTGACCCGAGTTACCCCTGATGATTCGGGGCTCTCCATTCCCGTTCCTTATCGATAATTCCCCTCCGTCGGGCCCCGAAGCCGGTCAAAAAAACGGGCCAGGCGTTTCGCTTGAGACTTCACAGGTCGCTGGCAATATGTGGCTTTGGGATTCGGGCCGCGCACATGTGTTGTCAAACATTTCAAGAGCTTCACGGGGGCGGATCGTTCCCAGATGTGGATCTTGTCTTAGCGTCGCCGTTTCACGGATTCGTTCTAACATCTTAACAAAAGCTTCACGGGGGCGCATTCGCTCTAACATCTGAACAAGAGCTTCACGCCGGGTGTTTTCAAAAAGTGGTTCTCGCCATAGCATCGCGCGCTCTCGTCCTAAACAGTTGCAGAAGTTTAAAACGGTTTGAGGGCGGATGGTTTGCAAAATGTGGTTCTCGCCTTAGCGGCGCGCGCAGTCGTCAAAAAAATAACTGCCAGAGTTTCACTCGAGGAATTTGGGCGGCTCATTTTCAAAATGTGGTTTTCGCGTTAGAACCGCGCGCACTCGTTATAACAAATTGCAAACAAAGGGCGGATTGAGGGCTGTTCTTTAAAATGTGTGTTTTCGCCTTCGAACCGCGCACTGTCGTTCCAACAAATTGCAAGCAACATCCCGGATTGAGGGAGATCATTTGTCAAACTGTAGCCATTGCGTTAGCGCCGCACGCAAGAAGTGTCAACATGTCCCACACTTTCACATGGCTGACGTTCCAGATGTGTTTTGACGGCACGATCCCGGATCGCAAAGACGCGACGGTCAGGCTAAATCGCGGCGTCGAAACCTTGAGAACGGTTTTCTGGCACGCGTCAAGATATTCACACGCTGGACCCCACACGTGGCAATTCCCTCAGTGGCAGTGACCCCTAATTATGAAAAGATCTTGTGGGGAGGGTGTTTTCCAACATCTTTGATGATCTTGGGTTCATGCTGGTCCTCTTCGGTTTACTCCTTTTCCTCCTCCTCCTCCTCCTCCAGTTCCTCCTCCCCTCCTCACAGTCCTCCTCCTCCTCCTCCTCGTCCTGCTCCTCCTCCTCCCTTTCCCCGCGTTTGTACGAGTCTGCTCTTGTCCGCTTTACGAACTTGGCCGACATATCTGTGTGACACTCGGCGCATCGCATGGATGGATACAGAAGCTGCGCACAGCCGCGCATCCGATACATAATTCTACCATTACATGTGAGCTCGACCCTAAAATGGAGCAGGTGTCGAGAGGACGCGCTGTGCGGAAACTTGCTCGCCGGAAGAGGCGAACGCAATGGCACGGCCCAGTCATAGTTAAACAAATACATGGTGAGGCCAGGCGTTGGACATGCAAGTGATGAGGAGGTTCAGGTGACGGCGCGGAGAGCAAGGGTGCATAGAAAAAACGAAAGAGAGAGGTGGGGGCGATCTAGAGAGAGAGAGAGAGAAAAAGAAAGGGAGAAAGAGAGAGAGAGAGAGATAGAGAGAGAGAAAGAGAGAGACAGAGAGAGAAAGCGAAAAAGAGAGAGAGAGAGACAGACGCGTGTGTATATATATATACATATATATATATATATATATATATATATATTATATAACAATTATAAGCGAAGGAAAGAGAGAGGGAGAGAGAGAGAGAGAGATAGAGAGAGAGATAATAAAGACATATAGAACGAAACAGAGAAACAACTTGTTGTGCGCCGCAGCGCGGCAGAGACAATCAGAACGCACACCCAGGCGACACCAGGGCACGGAGTCGCGAATTACCCGGGCGCGGGAAGGGGGGGGGCGAGGGGGGCGGCCGCGGGAGGGGAGGGCCGGGCACGGGAAGGCACCTGCTGGGGCTGGCATCCCTTGTCGGGGCTTCAGCCAGCTGAAGCTGGTCGGCAGCGGGCGGTGCCCCGCGGCGGCCGGGCCCGGCAGAGCCCTGGGCCGCATCTCACCCAGGCCCCAGGTCGGCGCGAAAGGTCCGCTGCGCGCGCTCCGACGAGGTTGCGCCGCGCGCGGCCGCTCTCGGCATGGCGGGGCTGCGGCTGCCCCCATGCTAAGCCGCGCCCGTCTGTCGCATGTCCCGGCTGTCGAAAGCTGCCAGCACGTGTGCATCGCAGCGGCTGAACGTGGTCTTGGTCCCCAGGAAGCTTCGCCAGGCCTGCTTGAAGTGGTCGTCGAGTCCTTAGCGCCCCCTTTCGGTTGCCACCCCCCGGGCAGCGATGTCTGCAAGGGCGGCGCGTCTCCCGCCCCGGAGGCATTTATCTGGCACCCCGCTTGTCGGCGCGGTCTCGCCGTGAACCGCGGCCAGGAAGGCCGGGCGCTCGCCGCCCGCCCAGTGCCCGCCATCTACCGTCCGCCCCCCGCACCTCTTGGGCCCCTTAGCACGCCGGTCTTCGACGAACGCGCGCTGCGCCTCGCCGATCTCGCAGCGCCGCTGGCCGGAGCGGTCGGTTGCGACGCGCGCGATGTCCAAGTCGAACCTGCCCTGGCGCGACGGGGCGCGGATCGCGTCGGGGGCCCCCCGCGCAGACGCGGTTTCTGCGCGCCGGGTTGGGGAAGCGGGCGCGGGCCTAGATCGGCGCTGCAGCGGGCTCTCAGGCATGGCCGGCGGCGGGGCGCGCGTTTCGCGAGAAGCGCCCAGAGGCTCGCGGGCAGGCCAGGCGGCCCATGGGCACGGGGGCTCCCGCGTAGCGCCCCTGGGCGCAGGGGCTCCTGAACAAAAAAAAAAAAAAAAAAAAAAAAAAACGAGCGTCCTCGCCCATCCAGGCAAGCGCCTTGGAGGCGCCTCTGGGACGGGCTGGGTGGGGGATGTCACCCCAGGCGCCGCGTGCCCTCTGTCCTGGCTGATTGCCCACTCGACCAGGCGAGCGCGCCGGAACTGCAGGCAACGCGCGCCCCGCGGCCACGCGTCAAGCTCCAGTTGCCCAGCCCTGCGCGCGCGCCCGTGCCCCCGCAGTTTTGAAAAAGAAGAACGCGAAGCGCTTTCCGTCAGCGGCGGGGGGCGGCGCGTCGCTCGCGCCCTCGCGCGGGCTCCCGGAGCAGAAGCCGACCCAGTGCAGGTTAATGTCGTCGCCATAACTGCACCTGAAATAGCCGACGAGGGCGATCATCTCGCCCTGCGTCAGCTTCTCGATCCCGCGCTATTTCTGCATGGGCAGAAGCGGAGGATCGCAGTAGTCGGGCAGGCAGGGCAGCCCATGGCCTCGAAGCCCGTCTCCCTGGGGGCCAGCTGGGCGCCAGACCCTGGCCCCGGGGCATCCAGGTCCGTGCCGGGGGGCCCCCCTGCCCAGCTGGGGGGGCTGTCTGCGCGCGCGTGCCCGCTGGCTCCAGCTCTGGGGGGGCGCCTTCTGCAGGCAACCGCATCCCGGCTGGGGCCCGCGTCGGCCCTCGTCCCAGGGGCTCGCCTGCCCCGCGCCCCTGGGTTCTCCTGACCTCCAGCGATGGAGGGGATCTTCTCTTGTCGCGCCCTTGTCCGCCACCTCCGGCGCCATCTTGGCCCTCGTCCCGCGATCGGCGCGGGCGGCTGGTCTCTCATTCTTGGCATTTTGACCGGGGTTTTGCGGTGCCCAGGTTCTCGACCGGGCTTTCCCAGATTGTCGGCGGGCCCTGGCTGGCGGTTTCGGCCAGGGGGGCAGCGAGCAGCGCCCTCGGGAAATCCATGCCCTTCCGAGGTCGTGGATGCCGCCGCGGGCAGGCGCGGGCGGCGACCGGCGGGTCGACGCCCAGGCGGGCCACGGCGCCAACTGGGGCGCGCAGCGGCATTCGCCGGGTAGATGCACGCTCCGTTTCTCGCCAAGATGGCCCGCGAACCGGATGGCAGGGCGCCCCGGATGTGGACCGGGTAGCAGGCGCGGCGCCGCCTGGCGCTCCGCGCGCAGACTCGGAAGGCGCGCCCCGTATCTGGAAGGCAAGGGGGGCCGCGGACCAGGGCGGCGCAGGAGTTAGCGCGGCGCTGGGCGGGCCCGATCGGAAGGCGAACGGGGCCCCGCCAGCCTCCCAAGCTCATTACGCCCGGCCCTGCTGCCGAACCTGCCCTCGTCAACGCGGCGCCGAGAAATGGGGTCGCCGAGGGCGCCCGGGCACTGCTGGCCTTCCTGGGGCGCGGTGCCAGTGGGGCCGCGGACCGGGCGCCCCCATCTTGCTTGCCCCGTTCGCCCAGGTCGCGGCCGGGTTGATCGGGGGCAATGCGAGGTAGTTGGGCCCTGGAAGGGTCCGCCAGGAGGTCGCGCTCTGAGCTGGAAGCCCCCCCGCCGACGCAAGTTGCGGCCCGGGCCCGAGGCGACTCCTCGGCCGGGTCGCGCGGCCCAGCGCCAGAGCCTGTCAGGGCGACTGGCAGGGCGCAGCCTTCGCCTTTGGCGCCTCCAGGTTAGCGGCTTCCCACTGGCGCTTCCAGGGTGGCGAGGGGGGGGGGGCCTTCCGCGCGTTGGCGCAGAGGCCCATGTCCCTCGGGTTGGTCGGGCAGCCTGCCTGCGCCGCAGTCGGATGGCGGCAGGGCGCCGCGACCAGGCGCCCTAGGGCGCGCAGAAGGTCATCGATCCTGCCGCGGATCGCCCAAGGCGTCCCCAGGCTGCATCCAGCGATTGGCCGCGAACCTGTCGCGGATGGGCAGCCGCGCCTTGTTTCAGGGGTCGCAAAATGCGAGGACAGCCTCCATGCATCCCCGGCAGGGCCCGGCTTACCGCAGGGGTACAGGAGCGCCCTGGGCTCGCGGATCACGATGAACATAATGGCCAGCAGGTTCGAGCCCCAGGAAATCCGGGTAAACGTATGTTCGGGCCCTGGGAGTCGGCTCCTCAGCTGCCCCCGCCCGTCCGCGGGCTCCCCCAGCATGGCTCTGAGGCGGTCGGCAGTGGGCTGTCTGGCATGGCGCTGACGGCAGCAAGTGGAGCTGCTCCAGCACGATGGCGGCTGCCGTGGGGTGCCGCAGGGGACAGTGTCCCCCTTCCTGCGCCATCGTTTGCTAGCCCCCCTCAACGTCGGCTCAGGCGGCACTGCTCCCCCACCAGTCGGGCAGCCGCTGGTCGTCGCTTTGCCGCGAGCCCGCCAGCAGGTGTAGCAGCGCTGCCCGGGTCGCGGTGTGGACGTAGCTCGCGGGGTCCAGGCCCAGCTCCAGGTGGTCAAGGAATCCGCTATGACTGAAGAGTTTCCTACAGTGGTCCGCGAGGTCCCGGGGCGCGTAGCCCAGGCCAGATGCTCATGACGAAGAAGAGCACCGGGGCAAACCCTGGGTCCATCAAGTGCCGGGGTCAAGCATGTTGTAGATCCTCTGCCAGGTCACCCCAATCGCGGCTGTCGGGCAGCGAGGGGTCGACCAGGGTGGCAAAGCCGAATTACTGCTGTTCGCGCATCTTGGCAGGCTTCTTCTCCCTGGCCTTGAGCGCCGCGTCTGCTGCCATCCTGGCGCGGACGTCGGCGGTGGTCTTATCAGACATAACTCGAGGCCTCGCAGAACGACGCTAGCCTGCACTCAGGGTCCTCCGCTAGCACGCGCCAGTTGCCTGCGCGCTGGGGCTTCAATAGCTGTATCCAGATGCCCGCCTCCGCGCCCCAGGTGGTCAGGGCGTGTAGTGGTGACTCGGTGGCTGCGCTGAGCATGGCTCCGTTGTCCACGATGACCACGCCGCCCTCGGACCTGGTGTATGCGACGTTGAGCCGATGCCGGTTGTCAATAAATCCCCGGGTGCGACTACTGCTGGCACGGGCACTCGCGATCATGACCAGGTCAGCCTCGTCTCCCTGATGGAAATCGATGGCGCTGACCTCGGATGAGGCCAGCCTGGAAGCGCCCAAGGCACCTGGCCTCAAGCCCGGGGAAGGTCAGCCCGCGGCCGTTGGTCCATGTGGCCATTTGCCTGAGGACTGCCGGTTCGGCTGCGCTGGACGCTCCTCGGCGGGCCTGTCCGGGGACTGGGATGCGAGACCTGGCTGGCACGGGCCTCGCACCGGGAACGTTCGGGAGGGGTGATCGGCCTCGGGTGGGGGACTTGCCTGCCGCGCCTGCCGCCTTTCCCCTTCTCTTTCGCCTCGCCGTCGGGAATATAGCTCTGAGCTCCACCTCTGTCGGCGGCCAGCATTTCCTGACCAAGGGCAGCACAGCTTTGCATCCGCAGAGGACCATCACCTTCCGCCCTGTGAGCACCAGGTCGTCCCGGCGCGCCGCGACCGGGTCACAGGTGGCGGCGGCATCCCTGACGTTGGCGGAGACCTCGGCCATAGCTGTGGAACCTCGTGGGCCTCGACACGCACCCTCCTCGGCTCCATAGCTGGAATGTCTGGAGCCTCCGATCCTGGGTGGCAGCGGCCCGTCGCCAAGCCCATTGGCTACGCGGGCCTCATCGATCAGCGGTGTGGCTCTCTTCCAGGGCAGGCATTGGACCACGCTCCGCTCCTTGAGAACAAAAAACAAAGAGAGAGAGAGAGACATCGAGAAACAAACAAGGGAGGAATATATGGAGAAAGACAGAGAGAGAGAGAGAGACAGAGGGAGAGAGGGAAGGAAAGCGAGAGAGACAGAGAGAGACGGGGAGGGAAAGAGAGACACAGTTTAAGAGAGAGAGAGAGAGAGAGCGAGAGAGATGGAGGGAGGGAAGGAGGGAGAGACAGAAGCGAGAGTAGCATTGACAATTGCATGCAGCAGTTCTGCACTGCCAGGGTGCGATGCATCAGCCGCCCTGTCACGAAATGGCGTCGCCCTCGGGGGCTGCGAAAGACTGTCTGTTCTACGCATGCTTGACTGGAAGGAAAGGGACTCCGAGAAAGCCGTGTCCAAGGTCCAAGCTACCCTGAGGTTTTCCCTTAGACAACCGTCCAATCCCGAGTCGTCTTCTGACGGGCGAGGGACTCCGTAGGAGCCAGAGAAGCCTCCAAAGACTGGTCGCGACCACTTTGTAGCGTTGCCAACTTGCGGCAATCACACACACACCCGTGTTGGCGGGCAGGTTGCATAACCCCTCTCAAGAGCCCACGGGGTAGCGGGGCCCTCCGGAGAACGGGGCTGGTGTGACGCCGTGCTGGCCCCGTGACCCAACGGAGCTATGTGACCCCGTGTTGGCCATGATCGCCACTCCAATTCACAGCCCTTGTGACGCGAACGAACTGGACGGCGGCATCTGCAAGATGACTCCAAGAACACCCAGGTCCAGCCCGAGACAGCATCAAGATCCCCCAAAACAGCCTCCCGACCCCAAAAAGGGCCCCACGAGCCCCACGGGGCCAAATGATAACCCCCAGAGGCCCCAGCAGGGTATCCAAAAGGAGCCAGGGAGGCCGCCCCTTGGGAGCCCAAAAGGCGCCCCGAGAGAGCCGAAACCCGTGAAAACTCCTCCTCGGGATCCATATCCCTCAGGATCCCTCGACTTCCTTACGGCGATCACTTGAGTAGGGACCCGCCGTCCCGGCATTCCTATAGGCCTACCACGACAGGACCTGAGAACTCATAATGAAAGCAATGGCCATAGAACGTACATAAAGTCTATAAGCCCGACTGTTTCAGCCAGACATGCTCCAACAGCATGTCCTGCAAACTCTAAGGACGCGTCGTGCGAATCGCATAATGCTGAGAAAACTAAACGGTGGGCCTATAGGCAGGCCAAGACGCCTCGCCACTGCTTGCATCATTGCTCCGCGCCGCCGCTCTCTGCGGCAACGTCTGCATCCGGCGGCGCGGGCGCAGCCGCAGGCTGCGGTACCGTCCGCGTGTGCTCTGGCGGGTGCCCCACGACCAGCCGCGCGGGCCCCTGTGCTGGCCCCGCATCGCTGGCTCCGCCGGCCTTGCCCGGCACCGGCTCCACCGGTGGCACGACGAGCGGGCCCACCACGTTGCCGATGTTGACGCCGTGCTTCACGCCAGGGGCCGGTGTCGGGTGCTGGGTCCTCTCGGGGGCGTGCAGGAGAGGGGCTTGCAGATCAGGGCCCAAGGCAAGTGCGCGGCCCAGGGGGGACCAAGGGACGTGTGGCAACCAGAGGACGGCCCGAAAGACCTCCAAGCTGGCTCAAGAGAGTCTCCGGAAGGACCCGAGAGGCTCCAAGGGGGCCCCTGGACGGCCCAAGAAGGACCCGAGATGGCCCCAAGAGAGCCCCAAGATGGCCTCATAACAGGGGATATGTCGAGCCCTATTCCAGGCTTCGTGGGGTTTCGACAAAATCAAAATTTGGGACCCAACCCTGGGATATACGACGGGGGGACGCCCATCCTCGATATGGGGCGCGTCCGAATAGCCCTCTTGGGGTGTATCCCAAGGTGCCCCTCCTTTTCCCAGCAGCTTCATTCTTCGTAGAAAAGTCTGGGGCTGGGGGAGACAAATCGCCTGCGACCCCCTCCTCCTCCTCCTCCTCCTCCTCCTCCTCCTCCTCCTCCTCCTCCTCCTCCCTTTTCCTCCTCCTCCTCCTCCGCCTCCTCTTCCTCCTCCTCCTCCTCCTCCTCCTCCTCCTCCTCCGCCTCCTAAGGTAATCGTCGCCTCCCCCTGGGACGAGCGCCCCCGATCCTCACGTGCTCCGGCGGGTGGCCCATGACCACCTCCGCGCGCCGGTGCGGGCTGCTCTCGGGGGCGCCCCCGGCCTTGACGTGCGTCGGGCGTGTCCCCCTACAGGGGGACTGTCGACGAACAATAACAAATTACCCCAAAAATGCCCCAGAAAGGTCAAACCATCCTCAAAAAATAGTCCCCAGACTATTTTCGGTGCATTTTTGGAACATGTTTGGGGTATGTTTTATATTTCGTCGAAAATCCCCCTGTAGGGGGGCAGGCCCGACTTAAGCCTTCACTGCCGAGATCACCGCGAGGACCACCAGCACGACCGCCACCGCGCCGCCCGCCGCGAGGGTCCACGGCTGGTGTCGGCGGCGCGCACGGGGGGGCAACGAGGTAGATGCGGTGAGGGCACTGGACTCACGAACCGGAAACGGCCAATTCGCTGATCGATGTGTCAGGGCAGGAGGTCCATCGACCTCCGATGGATCAGGAGCCAGGGGATGCGAGGGCCAGCTCAGGCCTGGTCGTGAGTACCGTCGCCGCCCTCACCAGACGAGGCGCCAGCCAAGGTCTGCAGCATGCTGGGCACAGGCCTCACCGCACGCCCCCAGCTCGGGTCGGGCGAAAGGGGGGGATAGCAAAGGGGGGGTTTGAGAATCAGCTGATTTCCCCGGCGCCTCCCGGCGCCGGAGGCGGCAATGCATGAGCCTGTTTTTTTTTGACTCTGGCAAGTTTACTTGCATGGACGGGGGGGGGCCTGAGCCTGTGGCAAGCCGCAAACGACTTGCACGTTCGGGGGGGCGCGGAAATCACGCAAGTCGAAAGGCCCTTGCACGCTAGTATTCGCTTGAAGAGGGGCGAGGGGGGGGGGGGGGGGCGAACGCCATGCAAGTAAACTTGCCTGAATCCAAAAAAAAAAACAGGCTCCATCGAGGAATGGGCCCCTCGGTGGGGCCGAAACCAGCTGCATGCAGCAGATTTCGTAACCCCCCTTTCCCAAGCCCCCCGACGTCATGATTTTTTCATGACGTCGACCCCAGAGGTCTGGACCCATTCCCCGGGGCCGGTTTTTCGTCCCGAGTCGTTTTTTTACGGTCTCGAGGGCCAGCAAGGGCCACCAGAGGCCAAAAATATTGAAAAACCTCCCGTCGTGATTTTTTCATGGCTCGAGGGGTCTGGGTTCCCAATCCCCCCCTTTCGCCCGGCCCGACCAGCGTACGCTGCGCAAGGGGGGGGCGGCCTGCCTCGCAGGAGCGGACCGCCGGGGCAGGCCCAGGCGGGAGGCTGTGGGGCGCAGCGTACGTCTAGGGGGCCACATGCGAACCCGACCCCTACCCCCCACGATCTCTCAGGGGCAGGGTGGGGTCCACTTCGCTCCGGAGCTCCCGAGCGAAGTGAACCCCGCCCTCCCTCTCAGAAATCGTGGGGGGTATGGCCTCCTCCTCCTCCTCCTCCTCCTCCTCCTCCTCCTCCTCCTCCTCCTCGGGATCGGGTTCGCATGTGGCCCCCTATAACGTTGCAAGGGGCGGGCGGCCTGCCTCGCAGGCGTGGGCCACCAGGGCAGGCCCCGGCGGGAGGCTGTATGGGGCGCGGGGGGGCCCCCCGGGGGGCGGGCCGTGCGGGCTGTCGGACCCGTTCCCGCGGACGGGTGGACCGAGCTGCTCGACTTGGCAGACGACGACGACGACTCTTGACGACTCTTGACGACGACGACGACGACGACGACGACGACGACGACGACGACGGCGACGGCGACGGCGACGGCGACGGCGACGGCGACGGCGACGGCGACGGCGACGGCGACGGCGACAGCGACGGCGGCGACGGCGACGACGGCGACGACGACGACGACGACGACGCTGAAGTCCCCCCTCTCTCAGAAACTCCTGGGGGTCTGGGGAGGCTCCTCGGAAGGCGGGGGGGAGGAGGGCCTTCGGTTCTGGGGGCCGGCCATCCGCTCAAAAGCCACGCCCACGCCCGGCATCCGCTGGAAACGGCCTCCCCGAGCCGCCAGACTTCCCGTGCTGCCATAAAGGGCATGGCTCCCCAAAAGGCCCATCAGAAGCTCCCCACTACGGAGCTCGATGCCATAATCAGTGGCGAACCGCTGCCGCCGGACACTACAAAGGCATATGCTTATGCATCGGGGCATCTCTGGGCCAAGGTTCTCGCGTGGATCTTCGCTGATGCTAGCACCCCCGCCGCCCGCACCTTCCTCTGCCCTCCCCCCCTCGTCGCACTTTTGGACCCCAGCGGGGTGTCCACCGTCACCACTGCCGACACCGCCGTCGCTACCGCCGACGGCGTCGTCGTCGCCACAGGCCACCCTCGCCGCCGCCGTCGCCGCGGCCTGGCCTCCCACACCCTCACCAGCAGAACGCTCTCCGTGCCTACACGCAGTAGCGGCCCTGGGCAGAACCAACACGTGGGGCGCGGCTTCCCAGGGGCCGCGGGGAGGCCGCAGTTAGACTCAAGCTCGCAGGCCAAAGCCCCGGCCACCCGTGGGCCCACTCCAAAGGTCAGTCCGGCGAGAGGCCACTTTTGTGGAGGACCCCAAGAACCAAGAAGGCTTACACATGAACTCTCGGAGGTCCGCGCGGATTCCTTGGATCCGCGCTGGACCCCCCCTCCCTGGCGCGCGGAGCGCGCCGGGGGCGGCGCCGGAGGCGCCGCGGGGGGGGCCAAGCGCCCAGGCGCAGATCCACGACAGCCGCGGAGCGCAGAAAGTTTGTGTTTATGCAGTTGTTTAGTCTTCGAGTCGCTCTTGCGCGTAGCCGATCCACCGACTGCAGGCGCCCCCGACGCCACCTCGCCCCGACGGAATTCGGCCTTGCACGATCGGAGGCCGCGATGGATCCGAGGCTGGACGGTTGACGCGGTGCCAAAAGCCTGGGCGCGTGCCGACGCCGCACGAGCCCACCGTGGCCCATCCACCGACTGCAGACACCCTCGGCCCCCCGCCCTCGCCGACGGCCGCGCCAGCGCCGCCCCTTGCGCGCCGCCCGCTGGCGGGCGAGGCGCAGCCCCGGGTTCGACTTGATCCGGCCGATCTCGGGCGCGCCTCGCGGGGCCCCCCGGGCACAGTCTGGTGGCGGACCCGCGCGGAGACCTCGAAATCCCAAGAGACCCCACCGCGCGGTCCGTCATCACCAGCCCACAGAATTCGGAGGAGGAGAAGGAGGAGGAGCAGGAGGAGGAGGAGCAGGAGGAGGAGGATGAGGAGGAGGACTTGAGCAGCGGACTTGGCTGAAGGCGGCTCGGAATCGGATTTTGGGAAGCCGTGTTAAGTCTCCCATCTCGATCTTGGGCTGTTGTGTTGAGGGCTTGTCGGCATCATTCGACGATTTGCCCGCTACCGCTACCGCGAAGCGAAGCAGGGATCCACCGTCCTGGCATTCCTATAGGACAGAGGAATGTTCCCAAAGCAAGATCAATGTTCTTAGACCTAAGGCAAGTTGCTTATAACAGTATTGTCTCAGCAAGGCATGTGTTAAGACCGTTGCGAAAACCATGTCGTGCACACCACACGCGGTTCGTAGAACACTCTTTGGTAGGACAGTTGGCGAATCAGGACGCTTCGCCACTCCTTGAAGGACGTGACGACGAACCAGGCAGGCCACCAGAGCAAGAGGAGGAAAGTGCGACGACATTCGAACGGGCCTGGGACCTCGGAGGCCCTGGTCGCCCGAGGCATCCTCGGGGAGCCGACCCCGCATCGCAGAGCTGCGCGGTCACCCCGAATCCACACGTGTGGCTTCGGAACCATCGCTCTGGTCTCTGGCGGCCGTTCGGGGCGATGTCGGCACCCCAGAAACGCCCAAGACGAGGCGCAGCCACTGGAAGAACATCCCGGAGCGAGAAGACATTCCAAGAGCACCAAGCGTCGTCCGGAAACCTGCAGACACCACGCGGCGTGGTCAGCACACCGTTTGTCGGGGGCGTCCAAGACGGGGGGGCGTCCAGCAGGGGGGGGGGGCGCAAACCATGGCTAGCGGCACGTGCGCGGCCCATGGGAGGGACTGGGGCCGTATATGGAACTGAGAAGCGGCGCCATGAACCCTGGGGAGATAGCATGGCCCCCGCGAGGATATGACCCCCCCCCCAGACGCCCGACGTCATGAATTTTTCATGACGTCGACCCCCAGCGGTCTGGACCCTTTCCCCGGGACCGGTTCTTCGTCCTGAGTCGTTTTTTGACGGTCCCGAGGGCCGGTAAGGGCCCCCAAAGGCCAAAAATAATGAAAAACTTCCCGTCGTGATTTTTTCATAACTCGAGGGGGTCTGGGCCCCCTCTTCGGGCATCCCCCCCCCCTCCTGGCCGCCCCCGAGTTGGGGGGGGCCCCCGGACCTCCGCCCCCGGCGCACATCGGCTCGCGCTCCTCGAACGCCAAGGCCCGCGCGGCCTCGGCGGCCACGGAGGAGCGCATGGCCGCAGGGGGGGGGGGAGCGGCTTCGGCGCAGGACGCGGGGTCGCGGGCCCGAGGGGCGCCTGGGGCCAGGCGCGGCCGCGCACGAGGACGGCGAGAGGATAAAACGACGCGAAGATCGGGACAAAAAATCGGATCGGGATGGCTCGAAATCTCCGAGAATCGGCGGGTTTGGAGGATGTATGGGGCGCCGCGGCCGCTCCAAAGCGCTCCGGAACGCTCTGAGAGCGCTCCGGAACGCCCTGGAGCGATTTATCCCGATCCTGGCCCTGTTTTGGAGGGTGGTGGCGATGTGGAGTGGCGGCGGCAGCAACGCTGGTGGGGTGCAGGGCGCGTTCTGTGTTCTCGCTCCGCGTGCACAGCGGAGGCCGGGCGCCGGCGTGCAGGCCAAGCAAAGCCGAGAGAGAGAGAGAGAGAGAGAGAGGCGGCGCAGTCGGTGGTCACTGCGGCGCCTGCCGCACAGTCCCTGCGGGACCGCCGTCGTCAGGCCGCGGGCGAGCCGCCGCCGTCGAGGGGGCAGGGTGGAAGCACACGCAGGCGGTTTGCTGGGCTGGCAGCGCGGCAGCGTGTGAGCGACGTCGCTCGAGAACAGCTGCCGCCAGCCGCCACTGGCGGCCTCCGAAGGCTGCCCGCCAGGCGCCGCCGCGCGGCCCGCGCACCCCACACCGCGCTCCCGTCGCCGCCCGCAGCGGCGGCTCGCCTGCCAGGCGCCGCCTCGGTCGGCTGCACGGGCAGCGAGTCGACCCTGGCAGCGACCAGCTTCTCGATAGGGTGAGGGCCTTGGATAGGGGACCAGTGTCTGGAGGCCTGTGGAACTCCAGTCGTGGATTGGCCATGGATACCACCACCGCCATCATCAGATGAGGAATCCCCCTAGGGTCTGAAGCCTCCTGGGCACATTATTGTACCAACGCCCATACTGTGTGTTGACTGAGGAGGTCTCCAACCCAAGCCGATCATTTTGAAAGAGCCCTGGCCCTGGTCATAACGAGCTTCTGTATGGTGCCTGGGCCCTGCCGAGAAGAGGTGCGCAGGTCATTGAAAGTGAACGGAGATGATATCGTGACAGAGAAAACACACATGCAACTGATCACGCGAGATGTTGAACGAATCGTGAAGGATGAGGCGAGACTGCGACGGCAGCGATGGTGACGGTGATGGTGGTCAGCTTTGTTGTTGCAGGTGGGAGTTCACCTTGAAGTTGGTTTCTGCGTTTCGAGTTGGAGGTGGGAGGCGAACAACCAACGTGGTGCCCGACTCCGTCGTAATGTACAACGTGGTAGCGCTCAACCCTTCAGAGCAGCTGCCAGCCCCGACCCCTGCACATGTTAGAAGTGACGCAGCAGTTTATGATGACGAGGGTGGTGATGATGGTCATGACGGTAGGTCCAATACGTCCTGGCCCATGGAGGCCTGCCAACAGCGGTACGGCGGAGCAGCAGACCTCCGAGGCACTGGCCACATCACCCGACCAGGGGGGCTGGCGGGCGCTGCCCCCGAGCGGGGCACGGGCCCAGTTCGCGCCCCGACGAGCGCGCCGCCGCTAACAGGGCCTGATGATGGTGACGATGAAGGCGCGGGCGACGATGGCGATGACGATGAGCATTGTGATGATGACCGGTCGTGGTGGTGGAGCAATTGCGAGGCCAGCTCTCAACAGGGCGGCCGGGGAAGCACCGCTCGCAGATCTGGCAGGATGTGCCCTCCCCCGCCGCCCCCCCCCCCCCTTGACCTCTCGAACGCCCTGCTAGATGGATGACGCAGAGGAGGGAGGAGGCCGAGGAGGGAGGAAAGACGGGGGATTGAGACGGACGACGAGATGAGGAGAGGGATGAGGACAATTAACAGGGAGAGGACGGGTGAATGTGTGTGTACGTGTGAGGGGGAGGACAGCAAGGCGATGCCGCAGAGTAAGCTGGTGCCGACAGGGAGCACGATTTGATGAGAAGAACGAGGGCAGGAGGATGAGGACAAATGAGCAGACGGAGGAAGGATGATGCCAAAAGACGGGAGAACACGACACGTCAGGAGAATGGAGCCGGAGTGAAGATGGGGAAGAAGGAGACAGCAGGAGGAGGAGGGGCAGAAGGATTAGGAATCTGAGGAAGGAGGGGGAACGAAAGAAGGAGGAGGGAGGAGGTAAAGGAGGGAACAGGAGCAGGAGGAGGGAGCAGGATAATGAGGGATAAGAGGATGAGTATCATGGAGAGGATGAGGAGGAAGGACGAGGGAGAAGGATGAAGAAACGCAGGCTCCCTCGTGGAAGGGAGAGGGAGCAGGACGAGGAGGAGGGGGAGGAAGAAGAGGAGGAGGAGCAGGAGAAGGATGTGGAAGCAGGAGGAAACAGAGGAAGAACGAGAGGAGGCGACGCATCGACATGACACCCACGGCCCTCGACGGCGACACCCGCCGGCGTCCTCGGCAGGCGGGGTGCCGGGACCGCGGATGGGGGGTGAGACTTCGGCGGCCTCCGACGCTGGCGCTCGAGCGTGGGCCGCTCCAATCGACAAGACTGCCTCGCTGCAGGGGCCCCAGGACACACAAATAAATACACACGAATAAAACTATCCCCCATGTTTTCCCATATGTTCTGGGTTTTTGTCTCCCCGCCCAATTCCCATATTTCCCCATATTTTCCTGGGGATCGACGGTTCATTGTGTCTGTGTGTGTGTTTTTTTCCCTCCTGACTCGCCCCCGTTGTGCCCCGGGGTGGGGTGTCTCACGCCGGGCTGCGAGGGTGAGGAGGAGCGGGAGAGGCCCGGTCTCGACCTCGACGGTGCTCTTCGTGTTCGTTTCTGTGCCCCTCTTCCCTCGCTTTGTCTTCGTTCCTCCTGCTGCTGCGAAAGGCAGGGTCATATCATAACGAGAACGGCCCACGAAATGGCCAAAACACCGTCCAGGTCGAGCCCTGCAGGAGGAGGCGCTAGAGGACGAGCAGCAGGAGGGCAGGGAGGGCCCTGGGCTGGCTCGCGCCGCATGGGCCGGCCGCCCCTCTCTGGAGGCATCCCGCCAGGGCTGGCCTGGCTCCCTGGCATCCCAGGGACATCAGTCGTCGTCATCGCCGTAGCCGTCGTCGTCCATTCATGCGATCGAGCTGTCTCTAGGGGGAAAACAAACCTACCTCGCTTTTGACCACCCTCGCTTCCAAGAGATACCAAACGATGCCAAATTGCAGCCTGTACTGGTCAGGCCGCTTGACGAGGAGGCGCGTGGTATGACTTGGTTTTGCCTGGAAGCGAAAGCGGGGTAGGTAATTCACGCTCTGAGTCTCCCCAGACAGTGCCTGGGGGGTTCTGACTTAGTGTGTTCCCTACGGGACTGCACAGACACGGCGCCGTCTCAGCTGGTGCCAGGCTGATGCCCGCCCGCGGGCGCCTCGTGTGATGGGCCCGTGCTCCACCACCACCACCGTGAGTTGGAGGGGGGAAGGAGGTGGAGGAGGAGGAGGAGGAGGAGGAGGAGAAGGAGCAGGAGGACGAGGAGGAGGGGACCCCCCCCGTAAGGTGCTGGATTCGGTACCATTTGACGGCTAGGTGCCGGAAAAGGAACCCGAGTTTGCCCTGACCCGAGTTACCCCTGATGATGTGGGGCTCTGGTCCGAGTTATCCGGGGTAACTTTGGTCCGGGGTAACTCGGGTTTGGATTCCCGAAAAAACGAACCCGAGTTATCCCTGACCCGAGTTACCCCTGATGACTCGGGGCTCTGAGACCGTGGCCTCGGGTGTCTGGGACAAGGGCCACGGGGAGTCAGGGGGAGGAAGGCTGCGTCCCTGAGCTCCCCTCTCCAGGGGGGAGGGGCGGCAACAGCCTGGCAACAGCGAAGGAAACTCTCTCCCCAAAAGGTCTCGATAATACATCCGCGATCGACGACGACGACGACGACGACGACGACGACGACAGCGGCGGCGGCGGCGGCGGCGGCGGCGCTGGCGGGCTCGATACACTCCCACGCAGTGGGCCAAGGGACGCTCCCCTCCCAAAAGACCTCGACCCAAGGATCCGCGATGGACGACGATGACGAAGCCGGCGGCGACGACGCCAGTGGGCACGAGCGGCTCCCCCCAAAGGGAGGCAAGCGACGATCCCAAACACACCGTCGACGGCGACGGCGGAGGCGGCGGCGGCGGCGATGGTGGCAGGCGGTACACAGCCGCCCACGAGCGGCGGCGAGAGACGCTCTCCCGAAAAGCCTCTGTCCTTAGATCGGGCATGTCCCCCTACAGGCCGATCTTGGACGAAAAATGAAACATATCAAAAACAAAAATCCCAAAATAGTCCAATCGTGCTCAGGAATTCGTCCCCCAGACAATTTTCTGACTATTTCTCAAGATTCCTCCCGTAGAGGGACGCTCCCCCGAAAAGCCTCTATCCTTTGGATAGACGGCCGGCGACGACGACGGCGGCGGCTCGAAGCACGAAGCGAGAGGGGCCCTTCACGGTGCACGGGTCCCTGGCCCCCGGGCCTTCCACAGGCGCAGGATTTCTCAGCCCGGGCCGTGCTCTGAGGGGCCTCGGGGCCCGCGGGGGACTCCCAGAGTTAGGTCGGGCGTGTCCCCCCTGCAGGCCGATGTGCGAGGACACATTACAAAAGAGTTAAAAACAAATAGTCAAACATGATAATAAAGATACACTACACAAAATGATCCCCGAACTCACTTGGTTGTGCCATTTCTGAATTTCTTCTCCTGCAGAGGGACAGGCCCGACTGACTCCCGGAGCCCGACGACAGCGAACCAACTCCGTGGTTAGAGAATACACAAAAAAATGATCCCCGAACTGGTTTGGTTTTTACCATTTTTGAATTTTCCTCCTGCAGAGGGAGAGGCCGGACGGAATCCCAGAACCCGACGACGGCGAACCAACTCCGTGGTTAGAGAATACACTAAGAAATGATCCCCGAACTGGCTTGTTTTTTTTGCCATTTCTAATTGTTTTCCTCCTGCAGAGGGAGAGGCCCGACTGAATCCCAGAGCCCGAGGACGGCGAACCCCAGAGCCCGAAGACGGCGAACTAGTCCGTGTTACCATTTCTGACTTTTCCTCCTGCAGGGGGACAGGCCGGCCTGACTCC